AACAGACTAAAGTACTGGACAATTGGCATCAACTGAATCACAGCCTTGTCAAGACTTCCTGTCAGTGGTGGAGAAGTTAGGCAAACAGCTGATGCTTGCCCAGTAGTTGATTGCAACCGCGAATAAGAGGGGAATCATGAGCTCCTGACGAGATGTTCTCAAATTACTATCAAAAAACCACGTGTGACCTTTTCCTTTTGTGCATTTGTGTAGAAACGGGATCTTTTTTCTATCATTTCCACCTTTTCCTTAACATCACAGAAATGCTTGAACATTTGACCCTACACACAGGCATGAGGCGGAAGAGAGACAGAGAATATAGCATATGATAATACAGAATATGCTATTGTATGTGTAAGCTATGCAATGCTGCAAGGAACCTTTCAGGTTATTTGGCGGAAGTGCTACCGCGCTTGCGGACCAATACAGCAGGTGTAGTATAGGAGTGCTGAATTTTCAGGGACCCCAGCGTTTATACAGATGTAGTGATTTTGGTCTTTCTCCAATTTTTTGGCTATCATGAATCATGCAACCCTTGTTCCCTGATACGTCCGCAGGCAAGATTTCCAAGGGAGAGGCACGGTTTGGGCGAGAATGCTGAGGATACATGTGATGTGCTGAAGATACAATGTCATGAGTCATGTCCTCAAAAAACAAAACAACGTGCAGTTCAATGGAATGGAAACAACCAAGGACCAAGACTTCATGCATGAACACAAAACTTCTGGGGAAAGACTGAACGACTGAGTTGCTTTTCATGTCGGGTTCAGCAGCTGTCGGCTGAGCAACGTGTCTTCTGGTGGTGGAACGTGTCGGAATGTGGGAGAAGTCCGACAATTCTGGTGAAAGGTCCTTTGGACGTCACAAGGTCGGTTGGAATGTCTTGGTTTCACTCTGGCAGATTGGTGCAATTAATGACCCTGTTGAGGGCAGCTCAACATATCTCAACCACATCCCTAATAACACCCCGTTGCCGCCGTGCTTGGCAGCAATCATACTAGTTCTAGTACTAGTTCTATATGTGCAGCACAAAGCTTGCGAACCCAACCTAACCTAGTAGCTTCTTGTTCCTAGTAGCGTCCTTCCTCCTAGTAGCGATGGCCTCCAACCTACTTTCGCTGGCCTCACCTAGTAGCTTCTTGTTCCTAGTAGCTTATTCAGTTTGTTGTGCCTTTTCCTTTTGACAACATGTCCCTCAACTCTCAGGCCTGCATGCGTCGGCCTACGAGCTTCCAGGAGTGAGCTGTCATGAAAAATACCCGGACATTGCATGTACTCGTATCATCTAATTTGTTCCATATTGCTTTTAGGAGGGGTCAATGCAGACATGGGACGTGGAACCACGAGCGTATATACAAACCGGGATTTGCCAGTCAAGTGACATGTTCCTGCTTTTTCACTGGTCGACCGGTCACCAGGCACCATGTGGGTTTTGCCAGTCAAGTGGGGTGACGCGTGACCCTTATTCTGGTGGTGGTGTGACCCTCTACGGGTTGGACGCTTGAAGATCATTTGTTTTCTCAATAAACCCCTTCTTGCACTGGACCTGGTTGAGATGCGGACCGGGCGGTTTCTTTTTTCGTTTTCAAGAGGTCGCTTTTGGGTGCACAGGGATTTCAACTACATAGTGATTTAGTTCTCTTCTTGAGTTCGGGTCAATAGCGGAGCTTCGGTCTTCTTAGCTAAGCACATGCTCCAGCTCCAGCTCCCAGGTGTAGGGGCGCGGGGGGGTGCTTGAACCCTCCTCAACATCGGACCTCCTCACGTCAGACCTCGGGTGGGGCCACTATCTTTCGGAGCTCAATGAGTAGGGCCGGGGCGGGAAGAGGTGAAATTGGTTTCAGATGGTTTCACCATTTCACCTTCTTTTTCTCCGACTCCAGGGACGAGAGCATCATGGTTGGACAGGGCACTGGTCTTACACTGGCTTAGCTTTGAGATGAAACTGTGCTGCAAAGGCACATGTTAAGTGTGCAAGCTCTTCACCATGTACTGGCTGATACTCACCCAAGCGTTGTGCAAGCTGCTGCCGTCTCAGAGAACGCTGGCCACGCCCAAGGAGAGATCACCGAGCGTCAACACAGAGGGCCGGAACCTGATTGCAAGACGCCACGACGAGGCCTGTGGAAAAATGCCGCATCCTTCTTATGTCAAGCTTAGCGATGGCTCTGGGCCACATCGTTTGAACTCCATTGTCGAGCATCCATGTGTCAGTGCTCGCTGTGTCATGAGGTCATTGCTTGGCTCTTGAGGATGGAGTTGACTCGCAAAGTTCCAAGAATGAACTTTTTCCCATGTCTCGTGCCGATTTCTAGTTTAACCGTTTGGAACTCTGGACAGGCCTCGGTCCGCGCTGCAGGCCGGCATAGCAAGAGAGATCTTGGAAGCGAGAGGGCAGATGCAGAACGAGGACATAGGACTTTCAAAACAATGAACACATGTGAAACCAATATAATATGTTATATATATTATATATATGTACAGATACACACTCTATAATTATATAAAATTGCATGCTGCATACTACACAGACTTGCTGTGTTTTCGATCCGCATTACATGAATCAGGTTGTTCACGTCAGTTGCATCAAGTTATTCAATGGTAGCTTTGTGGAAAGAAATGATCATGATGTGTGTTTTTTTTGAACTTAGTTTCACATCAAATTCCATATGCTTGAAGCTACCGTCAGAAACTTGATGAGAAACTTACTGAAAAAAAAACATATTTGTGAATTCACAGGGCAGTTTTTCCTTTCAGCTGGTTGTCCTGCGGTATTTGTAGTTTTTACAGTTGACATTGGTTTGCGAATAGAATAGCATACCGAGTCTATGTTTCACCATGTGCAATGTGTGCGTCACTTTGTCAAATAGTGTGACATGGTTCACATTGGACTGTAAGCACTCATATTGCGCCGGTTTGGGGTGAGTTTGGAGAGTAAAGACATGTAAAGACACTTGTTTTTCGGTTGGTTTTGGAACCAGTTCAGTAAAACATGAATATGAATCCGGTTGCCTTCAGTAAAATCAGGCATCTACTATTCATTCATATTCATGTTTTACCAGTTGGTTATTGCGCGCTTCCCATGGACTGTAGCTTAGCTCCACATGGGGACCGAGGGTGACCGAACCCTGTGGAGCAGTGCTTTAACGCCGGGTGCACCGGTGGCCGGCCTGCGAGGCGAACGCAGCCGCAAACGGAGCGCCGCAGAGGCGAAGCCGAAGGCGCTCCGCGCCGCCGCGCTGCGGGGTTTGGAGCTTCGGAGGGTGTGACGAAAGGCGGTGCTTCGAATCACATCTTTAGAACATAGTGGCTTTGGGGTCGAGCTTGGGGTGTCATCACAGGGAGCCAGAGTTCGCGAAGATACCGGACTTGCAAGGTCTAGAGTCTAGAGTCAATATTTTTAATGTTCCTTCACCCCACTAGTCTCAAGACTAGTTGAAGGCTTTGTGGCCCGACTAACGTTACTTCACTGGCCTCTTCGCCACCCTGGAGCCCGTCGTGTTGTGATCCGTGACCCTGCACAAATCGGATCCCACCGGTGAGAGCGCGTCTCATTCGCCCCAAAACCATTCATGTTTGCATGTTACTGATGTTTGCTCAAAGTGCAACGCAGAGACATAGTCCACACAAAAGCGCCAGCCTTTTGCACGCCTGCAGCGGATTCGGATCGCGAGAGTCTTTCCTCGCCGAGGAGAAGAAGCAGAGCTCGGATGAAGCGGATGCTAAGAAGGCCAAAACGGCCCAGAAGTCGTTCCGCAGCAAGACAAAACAAGGTTTCGGAAGGGGAATTGAAAGGCCAATCATATAGGAATCAAGATCAATCAACCCTCAGGAAATCATATAGGAATGATTCGGAATGACTACATACTTATAGTCTTTTCCATGTGAGGCAGGTGGGAGGGATGCCTTCATCCAATGTTCATCGCTGCTCGGAGGTTAGGGGTGGTCCAAATCAGCATGTGTTTGACAGGACAGGAGGAATGCATGTGAATTTCATGAAAAACGTTTTCCACGCAAACTACAGTCATGCAGAGATGTTTGTTCCACTATAACAGCTGATGGTTCCACGTTACAACCTCAGTGTTTGGAGTGTCAAACTCGTCAGGTCCGCCAGCTGTCTGCAGTTATATCGATATCCATCGACCAATTGGGATCCCCAAAACAGCTTCGTGAGAGCCAGGGCTTCCAGCTTCCATGCAGACGTTGTTCTTAGCTCTCATTTCGATGAGGCTGAATTGGAGATTCAACATGAGACATGACCTGACACGATCTTGTTAAAAGCATGGGTTTTGTTGCTGTGGCTTTGCGTCGAACTTGGTTCCAAGCTTCTTTGGAGTGGTGGATACGGTCAAGAGGTACAACGGTACAACATGTTCATGTTAAAATGACACTTGTTACGGTAATTCGGTCGTCACAGAAACATGAGTGCCCGCAACCGCGGTAATAACTTGTGAAGGAAGGGGAATGGCAGGTAGCAGTACGAGCAACTGTGGTGAGCAGCAGTTCCAGCCACAGTCAGATGCAGTCAGACAGAGTTTTTACGGATTTCTTGCAATCGGAATAGGATTGGGACGCATGTTGGTACGTAGGCTTTCTTGAAGTCCTGACTCTTCTAACCACGGTTCCAGCATGGCTGCATGACCTCCCGCAAAATCCGTTCGACCAGTGGCCCAGACCAGTGATCGCAGTGTCCGGTGTGTGGCTCAACATGGATAGAAGCAGCTGGAAGATGGTGCCGCAAACTCATCACCAAAGAAATGGAACAAGGCCTCTAACAAATCACCCATTGTTTCGAAGATTGAAGGCAAGGTGCAAAGCAAGGTGCAAAGCAAGGTGCAAAGCAAGGTGCAAAGGTCGTTCATCAGCGGATGTATGACAATGAACATCATTACATAACATATCATTACTATTCACATCTATTGTGGGTCCCCCCACAAGTGAAGGCTCACTGTGAACCAGTCCTTTCGTCTTCCGCCATTCCGCACTCCCGGGAGTGCGCCATGGACGACTCGTGCTAGGACTCAGATCTCGGACAGACATGGACAGACCCAGTTCAACTGTTACAGTCCCATTCGATCATATGTTGATACATGTTGATACACTCCCTGGAACTCACATGGAAGTGGACGGCATTTTTTCCTTGGAGTCTTCCATGTTCCTCTACAAACAGTAGTGTTTTTGTTGGGCCTTTCTGAAGTTTCGGAACGCCCCTTATTGGGTTCCAACGACCGGACTCCGGTTTCCGACGTCAAACCACCCATCCAGTCGTCCTCCGGTCCTCCCGGCTGCCCGATGGGTCCGACGGGTCTGCCGTTCATGGATTTCTCGATGCAGGAGTCCAAGGCTCAAGGGCTCGTTCGGCTGAAAAACTGTCACCTCAGATCTTTCTTGCGCCTTTTATATACTTGGAAAAGACAGAAACCAGTCTTGGGAGGAATCATGTATAGTACGCAATCCCTTGTGGTTTGGTGCTGGTTCAGACCCGCCACACCATAGTCCCGCCAAAATCAGGTCTACATAGCAGCTATTCTGCCGGTACACAAGTTGTCAACCTTCAGCTTAGGCATGCAACAACCGCAAAACATATAACAGTAAGTGTAACAGATTGTAACAATATAATTATGAGCAAATATAACTCTCTATATACCATTTATGTACCATATATATTAATTTGATATATATATATATATACACGAGGTCCCCCAACAGGCGTCCACTCAGAGCTCCTTATAGGTTAAGGGGCGTTCATTGGCAAATTGGACACCTCTGGTGGGTTCAGGTATGTATACATTGATATACTGTAATTATAACAAAAATATTGCAAGAATCCTGGAGTAGATCGAATCTGAACCAATCAAAAATACGGACCAGTTTCCTTTCTTGTTTCTTGATTTTCCATATTCTATCCACTCCAGGACGCCTGTTTTCTACGGCCCCACACCTCTCGGCCCCGCTCGCATCGAGGCCTTGCAAGCCGCATGAGCGACGAGCGGCCGCCGCGCGAGCTGAGAGAGCCGCAGGTCGGGGGGACGTGTTGCCGGAAGGGGGTAAGAGTCATCCCTGGAGAAGCTTTGTTGTGGAAAAAGGGTGAGAATGGATTTCTCATTCTGCGGAAGATGTTCATTTTCTGTTTCAAATGGTTCCTGGACAGCAGATCCAAGGGTGGCGATAGCTTCTTGGCACCGAGGTCATTGAGGGGTGGGGTGTAACATATCCATCAATGGCCTGTCAAATACATCATCAAGGCGCATGATGTACCTCTCTGCATCAATCAGGCAGAGAGGGCATCTCTAATGCGTCTAATCAGGCAGAGGCGGCCTCTCTTGAGGCCTCAGCGGCGGTGAGGGGAGTTTGTTTGAGTGTGTTGGGAGAGTCTGCACTTGCAGGTCTTCCCAAGCCCAGACCATCCATGGGACTGGCCTATGAAACCTACGGTGTATTTTTTCCTGGGGTCAAGGTAGGCGTATATGATCACATATGCCAGTCCCATGGATGGGACATATGGAAGCGGGCATCAGGTTGCTTGTGTGAGTTCAATGAGGGCATCAGTCGACTGGACCGAGTCAACGTGGCCGCTGTCAGGGTCTGGGAGTACCTTTATACTTATGACTCATGACCCTATGAAGAAAAAACACCTCGAATGTCACGGAACACGGACATAGACCACAATGTCACCACTCGATTCTTTTTGTTTTTGCATGTTTTTGCAGAACATCCTTTAATGGGAATTTCACCGGGCAATGTCCTTTACAGTTCTTTGAACCGGGCAATGTGCTCTAGGAAGTTCACCTTTATGGCACCGAACGGGCACTCGAAAAGTTCTGGTGGAACGGTTATCGTTCCGTCGTTCCGTGTCTTCTTCTCATGTAATTTCCTGATGAGGTCAGCAGCGGGAGCTTCAAATGCTGGGCTTGATGGTCTGGGTTCCAATGTCGTTGCGACAGACTTCTTCTCCGCAGAGGATGGGCGTCGGGGCTCTGTGCACTACATAAGTTTATCAGAAGTCTCCTGAATTTGTGTCTTCAGATTGGTTTTGTGTCCTGTACCTCGGAAGGATTGTTGCGCCCGCCAAGGGAGAATGCGGACATAGACATCACCGATGCTGTAAATATTGTGCTCATGTCCCGTGACTAATCTTGCAGGACTTGAACTAGCCCAGTCAACCAGCTGGCCCCACTGGGTGGGGATCAAGAGCAAGCGTGCTAGGCCTTCTGTTTGGGTTCACATCCCAAGCAGGACCCAGACCAAGAGTCTGCATGTGCCTCATAAAAAGCATGCAACAAGAAATCCTTACGGTAATATGATGCAATAGGGATCCATGGAAATACGTTCTTTCCACCGGCTTTTTTATATATATATATACATACTTTCTTTCAACGTGGGTTCGCGCAAGGTTTCAGCTACTTTCGGAGCATGTGGTTTGATTCACACTGAATCGATGAGAGTCGAACACATAGAATCTCACAAGCAGAGATGTGACACAAAGTCAAAGGCAGAACATATGATACATATTTTGTTTGCTTTCCAGACTTAATTGACTTCTTAGGCGGACGGTGTTTTCAAGCACTCCAGGTCAGAAACTGTCCGTCACTCGCTCCCGATCCAAACAGGGATCTATCTAAAAGGACAGACCTCAAGGCGTTTTCCTGGACAGACCCGTGGACCAGACAGCCGCGGGGGAATCCCTGGCGTCACGGATCGGTCGAACGACCGAGGGGTTGACTCGTTCGGTCCGAAACGGACCGAGGCCATGGAAGTGCGCGCCGTGTCCGCGCAGCTGCGCCATGTGGGGCACAGTGCCACCACCGAGGCGCTCAGTCCGCAAGCGGTTTGGAATGGCCTGCAAATCACTTTTTAGAGAAAGGCCTGCAAGCTAACCATCATCATCCACTGTTACAGGTAACAGGATAGACCCAAGACATGGATGTGTATATATAATATATTATATTTATGCATTATTAGACTTGATTTTGCAATGCAATTGGGCGCATCCTGGAACCAACGATTGAAAAGCTCAACTGATTGAACCATAGTCAATAAACTGGCATGTCGTCCGCACCTGTTGTATGTGTCATGTGGGGCAAAGACTCTTCCAAACCCTTCTGGCTCTGTTTGCAACTGCTGAGGAAATGATCAAACTTCATTGACTGCAGGGAAAAGGATGTATTTTTAGACTAAGTGGCTTTACAATGGGCACCCATACCCATGAGAAATTCTTGGTTGGGTGCAAGAGCATGAGTTTTAGCATTCAGCAAACGTGACGGGAAGCTTCAGAAGTCTTTAGTAACAAAGAGCTACTAGGTTGGAGGCAATCGCTATTAGGTTGGAGGCCATCGCTACTAGCAACAAGAAGCTACTAGTAAACATACTGTATGTGTTTCTTCCGAGCTCCCAAATAAACTGACACCAACGGATCCCACTGGTATGTGGATGGGATGCTGAGCAGTGCTGCTAGTCTACTAGTTTACAGGGCGGTGAGCCTGGGCAGCTAAGTACTACTTGATCGACACTCACATGGTTCACACATGCGAGGCCCTATGGATCCACTTTCTGAGGTACGGTGATTGGAGACTCTTTTGTCTAGGGGGAGGGTCCAGTCGTACCTTTTGAGAAGGTACGTGGATCTCTGAAAACATGTAGTATACAACTGATGTTTAAACATGTTTAAACTCTGTTCCACGACCCTCTCCCAGTCTTGTCGCCTCAGGCTGCGGTGACAAACGCCCGGGAAGTACATGCCTTGCTGAGCCAGGCTGGGATCTTATCCTTAGCGCCACAACACCATGTGGGTGGTCTCAAGAGGTGAGGGTTCGGCTTCCGATCTGATCAATACGAACCACCAAACATGATCCAAACATCAATTTGGTGCCATGTGATCCAATATGTTCCCAAATTCCCTCGTGCGGCCGTCCTATTCCTCCACCCCACATGGTAAAGTTGACGTCGGGATGTCGGGCAGGACCGCGGGAACAATCAACACGTGGCTGGATGCCTGGGATACCCTGCCCTGATTCAAGATGGTTGGCTCGCCTTGATTGCAAGGATAACGTTATATACGTTATATGCTTTATCCTACTGGGTTGGTCTCGGACTTCCTTTACAGTTTTTGGGACCAGACACATGGACACACACACACACGCCTTATTGTTGGCTTGGATTCCTTTCGCTGGTTGAAATTCATTGTACAATTGATATATTTGGATATATCACACGTTCATTTGTCATCATACATTCATGATGTGTAAGTACACATGTGCAGTATAGAGCAATATACAGAGCATATCGCAGGTACATATATACCCGGAAAAAGCGGCGCCGAACCCAGATCAACTCATGGTATGGAACATGGCCATATCTGGGACCGTTGACAAAATACATAAACAACACACCTTCTTTAAACCAAGCAAACATTTCAACAGAATTGAAATTTCTTCTGAAACTCTTCCATAATTTCTAAGAATAGCGTCACGTGACGCCAAAAGCCAACTTCTCCAACGCTGGACGCACACTTTAGATTGAACAATCAACAGAAGGGAATTCAATCTAATCAAATTCAATTCAAATCAATCCGATTCTATCTTAGCTTGGTATGGCCTTTCAATAAAAACAAATATTGAAGATTCTTGAAGGGAATTCACCTTAGATGACGCCAGCGTGGATCATCTTCCATCTCAGAGTTGGACCCACGAAATTGGCTTTGACTCGAATGGTGGAACCTGGAACCAGTACCTCAGTACCCCTCAGTTGGGTGCGTCCGGACCTGCAAAGACCCCTGAAATCGCACCCCAGGCTGGGTAGACGATCGGGGGTTCTTTGCAGGGGGGACGGTCTCCTTACCCCACCTATCTGGCATCGAAATTGGTTGAATTTGGTTCGCTTGGTTGGTGCCGTAGCGATTCGCAACGTGTTTTTGTGGCGCCCATACGAGCCCGCGCCACACAAATTGTTTCGCCCAGGAATTGTTTCGCCTTCGGCGACACGAGAAGGCTCCACACCGACCGACTGGGTGGTAAAAGAAAGAGGACATGTGAACGTGTGGTTACGTGTGCTTCACCTTCCTTCTTTTTGCAACGATTGCAGGGTTTTCAAGATTACTCAGCTGTTGCTGGTCGCCAAGTGTGTTGATTTAGACCACAAGCAACATATGAGCCCCACACTTCTTCGTGGGCAAGTCGCACCGCGACGGCCAAGTTCATTTCATGGGTCAGCCGTTCGGAAAACCAAGGCTGTTAGCTTGTTGATGCCATTTCACTTTGAACAGAAGCTAAGGCAACAGTACGCCGCCCACCCGTCTGAGTCGTTCAAAAATTAGTACGCTCCGTACGCGTCCTGTCAGCGTCCTGCTCAGTGGAATCCGTCAGGATCTCTCGCCCAAAGAAGAGAAGCAGAGGCAAAGCCTGGGAGTGGGACGGGGATTCTTTCTGAAGTAGAGTTTGAAGCAAGATTCGGTCTTAGCTGGGCGAGATGAGCATGCAGCATGCTCTTGATCGTTGTCACGCCGTACAAATTTCTTGATCATGGTAATAAGCTGCTTGGCCCCTGCCGGTATTGGAGCGCCAGAGCTTTCCCCTTCTTTCCTGTATATGATTGTCCGAAAGGTGTGTATGAAGGCAGATCTTCAGGTCTGAACGGATGGCGTGTTTTGTTTTTCTGTGTTTGTGCCAGCTATGGGCCTATAGGTCGGTGGGCTACAAGTTTCATAGATCACAGCCACAGGATTTATCTTTTTCGCACCAGGTCACCAGGTCAGACCGAAGCTTTGATTCTGAAATCATCCCTTCCCTATATATCCACACTGATTCGCATACTGAGAAGGTGATTGGAGACTCGTTTAGGCGTTTTAGGTTTGGAGGCTCCAAGTACCATTCTGAGAAGGTCTGTGGGATTCCCCACAAGGCCTTCAATTCTGATAATAGAGACATCATGTTGCTTTTCGCAGAATCAGAGTTATCCATGGTATAACAAGTTCGTCACTCTATTCTTCTGCACTCCTCCAACGACCGGACTCCACACACCTCCAACGCTGTCTCGTTTGCTTCGATCTTCGGATGCTTCGGATGCCGAAATGTCCAAGGAGATCGCTGGAGACAGATCTACCGTCCACCGCTGGCTCCGCGCGTGACTCGTTGGGGAGGCTCAGAGGTGGTCCGGTCGATCCGCGAGGCGTTGGTTGCATCTGGAGGTCCCGTTCGTCAATATGCGCCGAGATCCATACGTATATTAACATAGTAACATATATATATATAATATATATAGACTGTACATAGATGGATAGGATAGGATAGGATAGGACAGGACAGGACAGGACAGGATAGGTAGATAGATAGAAGATCCTTTCGGCAAAGATTCTCGCCTGTATTGGGAAAAGCGGCTCTTCCCTTCCTGAGGCGGAAATCAACTTTTTGCTGCGAAAGTGTTTTTGCTGCCGCAACTTTTTTCTTTCAAGAACAATGCTTTGGGGTTTGCATAGGCGGGCATTTCTCACTGAAACGGTCACCTCAATGAGAACAAGCATTGCAACACTTAAGTTTCCACCTCCACATGGGAGCCTTCCGCAAGTGCAGGAATTAAGCAAGGCTGTAACTCTTTGAAGTTCGCGGTTGGTCAAGCCTGCATCCCGATTGGCATGGCCATTGAGGTGCGATTGGCATAGTACAAAAACAACATTTGTCGCAATTATGCTACACCTTTGTTGCAATGGTTGCAGCGTGCACTGAAAAGTGTTGATTTTGCTTCTTCTTGCAGCTTTGGGTTTTCCAGGGTGACAGTTCGACCAGACGTGCAGCAAGGTTGTTTTCTTGTTGGTCTGGGTAGCCGTTTCGAGGTTCAGTCTACAGACAATCCTGTACACTCCTGTGGCACCACCGGCTCCTGCCCAATGTGGTGTGGCGGAGTTGTTGTGGCTCGGATGGTCGATCAGGAGAACTTACAGAAAGTCAGGGTCCACTGTGCTCAAGTCTGATCCAGGTAGGGTTGCTGCAGAGGTTCCAGAACGCACCAAAGATGCGGCAAGTGGTCCTCCTCAAGGGGCTGATGGCAAAGTGTGCCAGCCAAAACCCTGCACCAGTTCATCCAAACACATGCTGACACCCAGCGAGTGCAAAGAGACCGTTGGATGTAGCCCAGCACCTGCATGAGCTTGAAGCAACACAGAGCCATAGAGTCTTGCGAACTTAGCGTAGCTGAAAGCTACCAATGGCACAAGTCAACCGCACCGTGTTAGAAGCAAGCCTTTCAGTGCGTGACCTCTTGCCCAACCAGGTTCTTCTGTGGAGCGGCTATCATATATCAGCGAAACCTGACGCGCGCAGAAGCTGCAGACATGTTCCACGGAACACGGAACTAGTAGAATGGAAATCGCTCCTTGGGGGTGCATCTGTGCATCATTTTCCTTGTTTTACCGCAAGGTGGGCCGCATTTCAAGTCCTATGATCTTTGCGGAGCTTGTTGGGTTGAATTTCTGTGAGGATATGCTTCAGTCTTTCTGAAGAAGTTGAAGGGTGACTAAGTGAGTTCTTGAAGAAACCCTGCAATGGTTCAAAGCTGGGCAGCACAATGTTTCTCAAAACCGTAGTGCCTCAGGGCTTTTGTTTTGTATTTGGCCCGGTTGGCCATTGAAGCAGTTTTGGGGATCAAGTTGATTAGGAGCTTGAGTTTGCAAAGCCATTGCGCTTCCACAGGTGGTGTTGGACATGATCGCATCGGCAGGGTGCGAATGGATCCATGAACGCGAGGAGAGAAAGGTGTCTTCCATGGTGAAAGTTATTGCTGGAAAAGGAGAACTTAGCAAGGCTCGCAATGCCAGTGGGGGCGAGGGTGGTCTTGAGAAAATTGGTTGGAGGTTGGCTAAAGCCTTGCATTTGGGGTGGTTTCATTGCAGTGCTCCTGTTTTTGAAGCAAGAGTTGATCCAAGAGTTTGAGGACCGTAGCAAAAAACTAAGGTCCAGGGAAAGCTTTGTAATTATTAGGGTTTACGTAGCAGCAGTGCTAGGTTGGTCGGAAATGTCAGTGGAACTCACACTGACACTGTTGCCATGTCACTTATAGACAGGAACTAATTTTGCAAACATATGCACGGTGTATCTTGCATGTAGTCCGTAGTCCAGGGCAGGGTGGCTGCTCGGGCAGGCTGTGGCAGCGTCCAAAACAGTGTCAGGCAGCTATGACCCAGAGTTCGCATTGAAGCTTCTAGCCAGTTGGATCTATGGGAGTCACACGATTGCTCAATGCATCAATCCGTGAGTTTTGTTGCTTTCTGTGCCGCAGAAGCTGGCAACGTCATATCTTTATATATATAGTCTGCCCTTTCTTGTCAACCCCAACCGTGAGGCAACTACGGGGGTACCCTCTGGGAAACAATGTGTCCAATAGGGTTCGAAATAGGACTGCTACGTTGATGCCATGGAACTAGTGCTTTGTTCCTATGCTCGCAAGGCCGAGCGCCTGAGTGCTCGCAATCCATACCTTGTTGCGCGCTGGGAGCCAGAAAGGGAACCTGTAGGCCAATAGATTCTGCCTAAGCCTGTGAGTTTACGATTTCCAAGACATTGTTTACACCATCGAATCCACAGGCGTTCCACTTTGCTGGAGGAGCACACTTTGCAGATGCTTTCGGCCATACTATCAGACCGTACCCAGCTGTTGAATGGGAAACAATAGCTGAGTGGAGAAGAGGGACCTTCTCCAGCACATGCTGGGACAGAAAGAGGTCAAAGTGTGGTAAAGATGACGTTGTGATGAAAAGATGGAGGAATACAAGTGCAGACAAATGCCATGGCCAGATTTGAAAGATGCATGGGCCTGACAAGCCCGAAGAGATGCCAACCGGGTTTTCCGGCGCAGTCAAATTTCTCCTGCGCTTCGTCCTCTGCAGTTTCTTCCTCCGACGAAATCTACAGGGTTCAATTGGAAATGCAACCATTATGTCATTATGTGTCACATTTTTTTCTGTATGTGATCGTAACCCTCTACGAGAAAAGATGTTGCGATATAGGTGCCTTTTGGTTCGGGATAGGCGATAGGGATCATGACAGGCGCGGCGATTGGACCCGTCTCAGACAAACAACTATTGTTGAAGAACCTCCAGGTGCAGATCTGGCTACTGTCATATCAAATATATGTGTGTCATTGCGTGCCTTTCCTCGTGAAGGATTCTTGTGCGGAATGAGCACCGTACAGAGTAAAACCATTCCTAAGTGGCAAAGCCCGGGGCAAAAAACACTAAAGAGGCGGACGTCTCCGGGAAAGAGTGAGAATTTACTGGCAAAAGGCGGGGTTCAATGACAGTATTTTCAAAGGGCTTGAACATATGTTGCAGCCTTTTTGTGAATGTCATGAATCAAGAAGTGTCAAAATTCGGCATTGGTGGGAGAGGGTGTAGATCTTGAGATGCAAAGCAATGCCCTTGCAGAACGATTTGCGGTATGCAGGTATAGAAGAGACATCCTGGTGGGTATTAGGCATGGAAGGCATTGAATTTGGTTTGCCGCAGAAATTACGTGTTGGCCGCTGACCTGGCACGGATGTTCCCTTTTGATATTTTTTTCCCTGGGTGCTTCTAGGTACACATGCATGAAACATCACGAAATTTATAGCATGTGGCATGCATTTTTTTGCAGGGTGTCTCTAGCTGTATCGATTTTGGATGATTTTGGGGTCAAACGATCTTCGAAGAGATGACCAATCGACGACCGCAGCCCGCGAATTCAGCCGTTGACCCATGTTCACAACCAGCTTCCCAGGTGAATTTGAAAGGGTTTGTTGGATTTATGATGCTCACTGAGGTCCAGAACTGGCAGTGGTGACACAGGATTGCTTTCCGATGGATGCTTGGCTGATGGGTGCAGTGGTGGTGCTCGTGTTCCAGCATTTGCGTTGGGAAGACAGTGACATTGACCAAGGCTGCTGGGCATGGGACGCCTGCAAAAGCACCCAAACCATCCAAAACACAGCATGACCATTTGGGGCATGGCACCCTAGACATGCTTGACGGAGTTAGCGGTTGACTGTGATTCCGCCAAGCAGGCCAAACTCATCGTATGGCCTCAAACATTCCATTGAAAACTCGAAACCAACTCTTCCTCCTGGGCTGCCTGAGCTTGGGCCCCTCAAGGATCCCAAAGTTTCCACACCGCCAACCACCGGAACTCGTTTTTCTCATTTTAGCGCCCCTCACGGCCGAGGGGGGGATCAGCAGCCTTCGTCGAGCAGAGGAAGTCTTGGAGACGACGCAAAGGGAGACGTCCCAGTGTTCCAGCTGCATTTGAGCTGGACACGGCAGATGAAGGGTGAAACATGATGAAAAGTGAGCATTGATCAGAGATGATCAGAGTTTACTTACGATGGGAGGAGACATATTGGCTGTATCATGCTGTATCATATTCATTTGGTTTATTATTGACATGACAGATCCTAATCAGCCAGCGATCCGTGGTGAATTTGTTCCGGTGGATACGGGGAGGGAAAGGACAGAAGGTGTTCGGCCACTTGTGATGGCCGTTGGTGGTTCAAAATTCATCAGCTACAGATGGTGCTGACCCTGGGCACAGAAGAGAGCGCCGGGAGCCTTTCTATGGGACCGGACTTGATTAAATTAGAATGTTAAAATACTTGCGGAACAATGAGACGTGTGTGTATTCAAAAAAACACCCCAGGACATGTCAAGAACAGGCATCCAGGTCCAGGACATGAATTTGTGTTGCCAGCCTGGGAAATTCAGGTTGGCCGAGAAGAAACCCAAACCATGGACACCCCTGAACGTTGATTTTTGAGCCCCCCCAAAAGTTGTATGTTTGTTTGCCAACCTTTGAGCCTCATCCATGATATACAAAAAAAACTGCTGCACGTGCGCACACTCCCGAGTGTGTGGCCAGGATCTTACAGGAGCTCCGGCGGGAGAGTTGCTGCCTACGGGAGATTTTGCAAGAAATTCTGGCTATGCCAGAGGCAGCAGGGTGGGGCAGAGGCTTTGAACATATATATGTTTTGGGGGGGCACATGTTGCGCACTGCGCGCTATGCACTATTCTCAGACGAGATTAATGCAATCGATGGAACAATGATGACTGAGTGCTTGTCCTGAAGAAATACACGCGTAGTGGGAAATTATATGGAAATATGCATGGAAAAGAACCAGTGCACAGAATAGCTGTAGTTAGGATGTAAGGGGCCTTCAGTTAGAGGAACATCCTTTTTCAAACCATCCTGAGAGGCGAGGATTTGGCTGGGAGGGCAGCCGCGTGACTTGGTCATTGGGAGTTCTGCAACTCGGCTGTCGAGGTGGAGGCCATAGCCCCAATTCCTCGAGATCGAGGCCGAAGAGCCGGGCGAAGCAGGGCGCACGTCGACAGACGAAGCCACGCAAGTCATGGGTCATGGGTGGGAGAAGGAGGCTGAAGAGGCCGAATGGCGGCCATGGCTGACAGTGTGTTTCGAGTTATTTCGAGGGTTGGGTGGGTGGATTTCTTTGCCCAGCTTCCAAAGCTCTCAAGGATTCTTTTTGAGATCCGGTATTCTTGAGAGTACGACAGAGGACGACAAACATGATGTTGATGCAAACGAACGTTGAAGAGCCATGGTGTTTGGTTCAGCTGGGGAGGCTGCAAGGGTATCGAACCACAGAACCTTTGCAACAGGGCGGTGCAGGCACAGACAAGGGCAGTTGTGAAATCTTGAAAGTTGTTGGTCTGAGACCGTAGGAGGTACTCTTTGTATCTCTTTGTACGGTTCTGATCCTAATCTTTGAAGAGGTTGGCAATGACCCCGCCCCAGACTTGCGGAAAACAACTAGGAGTCTGCACAAGATACACTAAAGTCTTCTCCAAACTGGTCCGCTTGTGCCCCAGTTGACCTCCTGGGTGGGTTCCTATCAGACTCTTAAGTCAGTTGTTGTGAGTCTTGAACGGCACTTTCAGCACCCGTGTCCAGGCGATCCTCACACCTCGCGCAGCGAGAGCGCACCCATGCCGCTCGGCGAGTGCACGCACCCATGCCGCTTCGATCCTAAACGGCGAGTCCAACACCAAGACCTCTGCCATCTCCCCAAGACGACCTCCATCTTCGCTTGGGCGAAGACGACCTCTCCAGCCTCCCCAACTCACCACCGAGCGACTGACGAGACGACCGAGTGCGGACCGTGAGGAGGGGGGTTTGACTGGGAGACCCCGACGGAGTCCAATCCGTATGGAGGAAAACGACACAGACAGAACTCGACCTGGAAGGACTTGGTTGTATCAGGAATGTAGGAGAAAGATGAAGAACAAGTGGCAAAGTCAGGAGTATTTGGGGGTGCCAGTGATACTTTGTGGGCAATGCCGCATAGCGGTTGAATCAAGTCGCATGTTGAGAGCCATGTCATTGTGATCAGGATCCCTTCTTCATCGGTAGAGGATTTTAGGATCATCTGGAGAGATGCCTGAATCAAAATATATCTGAATGCAAGGCCCCAGCAACATTTGCAAAGCCACTAGAGGCAAATCAGCACGATGTCCAGCTGCAAATATGTTAATTGCCACAAATGCAATGTCTTCTCTGTGGTACTTCGTATAGTTGCTATTTGTTGTGTTGGTACATGTTCAACTGAGTGACAGCTTGATTTGTGTAGCAAGTGAGGCACCAGATATTAGACATTGAGTCAGACCTCTCACAGAGCATCTTCATGATCACTTTGCGATTCTCACAGAAACGTTCTGAGAGAGCTGACCGCATTTTCGCTACGACCATGGCACCACCCAGCTACTGTATGGTGATTTCAACATATATATTTCAACCAGTGGGGATTACAACCATCCAGTCCTTTCAGCATGTTCAACCCAGGTGAACTGGCCGTAGCTCACGTGGGTTTCCCTTGTGTTTTGTTTCCTTGCTGCAAAGAGCTCGTCCATCGTTCTTGCACCCTTTGAGAGGTTTGAGGCCGTCCTGTCGTGTGGGGGCTGAGGTTGGTTGAGACGCAGAAGCAGAGAGCTCGGGACCAAGAGGATGTGATTTCACCGCGGCACATCATCGTGCACGATGCGTGATGAAGGGGGAGAGAGAGGTGGGGGTGGCGTGGGATAGAAATTCGAGGGTGAAACTGCGAGGGTCTTTCCAGACCGGAGATCACGGCGAAGCGAAGAAATGGCCACGTCGGCGGTCACAGGTACTGGGGGGATCAATGACTTCAGCACCTTGCTGTTTTGGTGCATTTGCCTTCCAAGCAAAGACTGCAAATCAGGTCAAATGAAACATCAATGTACGGTCAGTATGACGTTGAAGGGAGGGTAGGCATGGCTTGCTTCCGTTTGTGATTATATAGAGACCTTTAAACAATCTCTTTTGAATTCCAAGTATGTATACCTTTCAATCCACATTTTACGCGCAAGAGCTTTGACTGAACAGCCAACAAGAACTGTTCAACATGGCCTTTTTGATCCTTTCTGTATCTTTTTGTATCTATTTGGAGCAATATTACACTTACACATGGTCGTTTTACTTTTCAGTAACAGAAACGACTGTTATTACAAACTTGAAACGCTGTTTGACACCATGGTTTAAAACTTGTGGCTTTAAACAACATTGAAACTGACATGGCAACGGCACAATTCAAGACATACGTGTTTTTTGTTTTATTACTCATTTCATAATGCGACCAAATTGCTTGACATGTCCATGTAATAACAATGAGTGACATCCAAAACTACCCTTATTTCCAAAAGGGACCCAGGGACCCCCAGCAAAAAAGGCAAGTTTTGATGCTCCCCGTTCCAAAGCCAAGGATTGCCCTTACTGCGGGGGAAAACTGACAGCTTAAGACCACATGGCACTTCAATCAAAGAGATAATAACTGCAGAATCTAAAGTGCATTCTCGTGGTATCTCTGACACAGAATCTCTTAAATGGCACCGTACTAGAGCTTCGTAGTACAGCATGCTGCATTGTTCACCTTGACTTGCGACTTGTCGTTGCACAGCTTGCCGTGCCGTGCTGCACTCAGGTGGCTCGCGGTCGCTCACACTCAGTCCTTGACGCGGTCGCTCGGCAAACGGGGCTTTTTCGGAGCTTCGAAACTCGGTCACTGAGGTGAGCATGAAATGAGAGATTGAGAGCCCCCCTCGGCACGAGAAAGGGTCATGGCACCTGGATGGCCCGTTGAAAACCCTGGGCCTGGTGGACCATTTTTGATAGCCTTGTCGACTGTTTAAACCTCAGTGGTCAACCGAGGTCCCCCCCGATGCCAGGACCCACAGATCCACATTGGCAAATATGTGTTGAGATGAGAATCATCGATCCTTTCAGGTCCTGCTGAAAGCTGTGGGATGAGCACTGAGGGTTTTGAATTGAAGGAGCAGAGCAGAGCAACTGCTCACTTGGAAAGCACTGAGGTTGTGTGGGAAGAATCACCATAAGTAAGCAGACTAGAATCTGTACTTCTCCCGCACATGAGGTGTTTTGTTGCCACCCTATCCCACCTCCATGATTCATGTAGGAACGAGTGAGATGACAACCTAGACCACCAGCACACACTGAACACCATTAAAAGAAAATAGTCTTCCAGGACTGAGTTCACCAAGGTCTTTGTCAATGACTATTGCTACTTAGTAAAGAATAGTGAAGACATGCTGAGTCTACACGGTTATGTAGAGTACGTAGCTATCGGCACGTGGGGTATGAAATTGGCTGATCAAATTATATCAAATTGACTACTCTGTTGGATTTGTACAAGGAGTAAACAGGTTGTACAGTAGAAACTTCAAAAGATGGTCTCAAAACATCCAAGCGGAAGACCAAGACATCTTCAGAAAGTTGTTTATGGAAAGACTGTGGAAAGACTGTGACTATGATTCGCTCTACAACGACCCACAGAATGCCGCCAAAGGTCAAATAGGGGAAAGGCGCGAGTTTGGACCAACAAGGGAGGTGGCGTTGTCACTACTTCCATTCCCACACTTATCTATGAGGGTCTAGGACGAGAGTCCCAGTCCTATAAGATGGCTCCACTGTGGAAATCCCAAGGTGGTTTGGAACTTAGCCCAAACACCAAACCTAAAAAAATAGTAGATAAGTTCTCAACTCCACTCCACTCGGTCTTCTTTTCGCTTGGGGTTTTGCTTAGGCAAGGGCACCACAGATCTCCTTGCTTCGTTCTGAGAGCCACGGCAGTCGGGTCTCCTACACGAAGTCATTGTTGATGCGGCTGCCATGGATGGCGAATGCTCATTTCCAGAGTCGATGGTGAACCGCAAATCTCGCCATGATTGGAACGGGTGTGGTATTTGATGTTAGAGCGGGAAGTTTGAAAGCTGCGACTTCGAAGAGATTATAATTTATAATTGCAGTGATAGTGATAATTGCCTATTATAGCAAGTTCTTCAGAGAATCCCTGAGAAGGGAAGTCCCAAAAGGACGTCCAATAGGCTCATGTGGTAAAACCCATAGCTGCCTGCCGAAGAACGAAGCCCTGACCAGAAGCTACTTGATTCTTTCTATCAACAGGCCGAACAGGCCATGTTCAATTTCGTTCTCATTTTTGGCAAGGAGGCTGGATTCCACACTTGCACCTCCACAATTTGGCATCTTTGGCCATAAAGTTCAAGGTCCTGTTTGCCAAGTCTTACAGGCTCGGGGCAGGTCAGACCTGGTTTGCGGAAAAAGGTTCACTTGTACTATGGATGAATCATGATAAATCTCTTCGGGTATCTATAAACTGTATAATATATACTATATATATATATTAGATTTTTTTCTGGTTCCTGAAGCAAATCCAATCAGAGCCTCTTGCAATCTTCCGTGAGCCTTCGAGCAACCGAGGTTTGACTCGTTCCTCCGTCCACCGCCGGCTTCATCGGAGTTGGCACAACTCCTTGGAGATGCGATGTCTTGTGGCGGAAGTGGGATGAAGCGGGGGGCACAGCGGATGGCACAAACTGTTGGCTTCAGAAGCCTAGAATAGAAGGATTAAGATCAGTATTCTGTCCAACAGCACCGTCAAATTGTTCAAGGACTTTTGTCCAGGCATTTAGAGGCTCAGATTCACTTGTACTGGAGTCACGACCGAAACCAACTTGAAAGTTATATAAGCTGCCCTGTGTTTTTTCCTTCGTGTTCCCTGCTTGAATGCAGGTTTTATGGATTACTGTTTATATAGGGTTGCCCATACTGTGTTCCTTTTTCGAGTGACATACAGGAGATCAGCATGGACTGTGACTAGGAAGATAAATATGGTGTTCACTGAGAAGGGTTATGCGTCCGGCTATGCCCCCCTTCTTTCGATGCCGTTTGCCTCCATGGACGTCGTGGTTCGACGGCGCGACACGACGTCGAAGCAGAGCCCCTTTTTGTTCCGAGAAATCATGAAAACCAACAGTTTGGATTCCACATGGTTTCACAGGATCCATCTTTTGCAGGACATGGGTTGCTTGATTCAAGTTGTTATGGCCAAATAGAAGGTCCAAATGGGTCCACAGCCATCTCTAAGATTTCCTGGTGGCGACTTGGAACTTTTGTGACGTGCCCTCTCTACTTGTCTTGACCACACCACATTGATGCGTTCCGGAGACTGTGACAGTCAGACTCTCAGAGATCTCGTGTTTGTCACCCACCTTCGGTGGAGCCACCAAGCGGAACGAGCCCACCTGATGCCTGCTGTCGGACCTGGGACGAATAGATACCAAGAGGATCCCCATCGGATGGGGACTTCTCACAGCTTATGGCAGGTTCCGTGCTTTCTTTCGGCCATTTCCGAGCACAGAAACCATGTGCTCATCACATCGGAGGCGGAACCGCGGAAAGGAGATCCCAGCGGTTTGCACCAGTGATGCCAAGAGAAAACCACGGTAAAGGCCAGAGATTCTCTGCTTTAGAAACAGATTGAAGGGTGCAGAGGTTGAGGCCGGGAAATACTCGCCTTTCTCCATACTTCTCCTTCCAACAAGGCTACTTACAAGACCAACTCCGCCTGATACAAGAGGCACGCGGGGCGCGCGGTGCTGCCTGACCGCCTGATCTAAAGAGTTCGAGTGTAGTTCGATTGACAAACCTTGTCAAGTTCATGCTGTGCTTCATGTCATGTTGAGTCCAAGTAGTCCAAGGCTCATTGAAATGTGTTGCTGGTGGAGTTGGCTGAAAACTGGTTTCGAAGATGCTGTTCATGTCCGTTTGTGGTTTATACATGAATGCATCTAAATGACATATATTGATATATGACGTGTTTTAATGAACGATACACACCTTTCACACAATGTAGTTATAGACTCTCTTGTGTGTATATATATATATATGTGTATGCATAGAATTGCATAGATGTATTCGATGCTATCCCTTGGCTTCTTGAGGCTGACCGAGAGCTCCGTAGGGATGCAGCACTTCGTCCCTTCTCGATCAGGGAGGCAGGGATCGACGAAGGACCGACGAGGATGCGCGAAACGATGCAGCTCACGTCAAACTTCCTATGATCAATTTGAGCTACAGCCAGTTCGCCTGGTGGAACATCCCCATTATATACTATCCAATGAGTCTACTGGGCTTTATGCTATAGGTCTTAGGAGGTCCTGGCAGGTCCTAGCAGGTCCTAGGTCACTTTGATTTTCCACATGGATCATCCCCTAGTAGCGTTCTTGCTCCTAGCAGTAAGGCCAGGAGCCCCTAGTAGCATCCTTGCTCCTAGTAGCGATGCCAGGAGCCCCTAGTAGCATTCTTGCTCCTAGTAGTGATGCCAGGAGCCCCTAGTAGCATCCTTGCTCCTAGTAGTCCATCTTCAACTCAATCCCCTTTGGTGCTTGGCTTCACTGGAAATGTTTTGCTTGAAGGACTCTTTGAATCCTGGAAGGTTCTTTTGGATCCCCTCCATTGTGATGTTTGGGAAGCTTCATGGAGAACTTATTTGATACATTTGCTTCATATCTTGCATTCAGAGCTTGATCATGCAAGTGTATAAGTGGAGGCAGTTGGCAAAACGACATCGTTTCGCCCTTCTCGCACAGAGGGACGACAGACAATTCTGTCTGACTTCCATGGAAGTTGATGGCATGGTTCCTTTAGAAGGCCCATCTTTCCTCTAAGAAGGCCCGAGGCAGGCCCATCTTTCCACAGACGCCCAAGTTTCTCACCCAATTCCTGAGACCTCAAGAGCTCGCAACAAATTTGCCCCAAGTACTTGAGGCTACACTGGGAAGATCAACATGCAACCTGGAAATGGACCAGACTGGAAGATGATTTTCATCTACAACCCGACGTGGGTCGCTTGAGGGGGTGTAATACTCCTCCGATTGGTCCGTCCAAGTGACGATCGGTTCGGCCGCCAGGTGTGTCCTGCACAGTGGGCCCTCGGATGACCGCGAAGGCGGACAGGAAGCGGTTGACCGCGAAATCAGACCTTGGGAGCTAGGATGGAGAAATTCCTCCGTTCTGCGAAGAATCGTTGTCCCGACTTTGGCGGGTGTCGAGACAGTCGAGACATCAATGGACCTGTCGTTCATGTCGAAATCACGATCACAATGTGCCTTCCTAAGTTGCGATGATTACATAATAACTATTTTTGTTACCTTATTTCATATGAATCATGTATGGGTGTGACAGATCTGTGGCATAGAACCCCGAAGAGGATGGCCCCAGCGTGGCTTGACATAGGCTCCTTGTTCAACAGGTCTTGCGCCCGCTAATTTTGGGCTTTTAATAGTTATGGATGTTTGCTGTTGGACTTTCTGGGAATAGCATGAGAGCAGATCAAGGAGGCAAGAACTGCGAGAACTATACTCACTTGCAACTCTATAGACTCTATAGAGGTCTGATCTGCACAGATCATCGAGAGGTATCATCACATCGTGTCCCTGCCGTCGGTTCACTCTCAGAAATCGCTCTGCTACGAGTCGCGCCTACAGTCGCTGCTGCGAGTCACCAAACAGTCGCTGTGATCACAGTGGACACATTTGATGTGGTCGGACCAAAACCTCCCATATGGATGGTCTGTTGGGAAATTACAGACCCACCTACACCCACTGGAAAGGACGAATGTGTTTCTCACTTGTTTGCTGGCCAGTAGAAGTGCATCGAGTAGAAGGGATGTTCTACAGCTTTGGGCCATTTTGGGCCGAAGCTCATCTAGAGATGTTGTTGTTCTTCCTCCATCTCCTACTGGCTCAGGACTTTTGTCTAGACATGCTGCCATGCTTCAAATCTTCCACTTGTTTGGCGCGAGTTTGGCAATATGTCGACTCAAGCAAACAGGAATCGGATGCCACAAATCTATATAAACTGTCAAAAAGACTGAGTGGGGACAGGAGCGACTTCACAGCAGTGCTTTATCATACTGGCTTGACTTCAGAGTGTGCAACTGTGGATGCCTGCCTTTATTTAGACATTCTAAAAGCTACAGCGTGACAATATATATATATATCAGGTAGCTGCTGGCTGCCAGCTGGCCTCCAGGACGCACACCCATTTGTTTGGCTGATGATTGAACCTCTTTCACTCCAGAGTCCAGAGAGTAGAGAGATTGTGTATCATTTTGTGGGTCAAGTCGAACTCATCGGTCTGCCGGGACGGCGTCCCGGTCCAAACTCCAGTGGTCGAGAAAGAACGTCCAATGAAAGGTGTTTGAATTAGTGATATTACAGTAGTTAGAGGCAAACGGAAGGGTAGTGCCGTAGTGCACAGAAAGGGTAGTGACCTTCTCCACTTACCCTCCATTTAGCCTTCAATTAGGTTTGTGATCAAAGGTTCAAATTTCAAGAAGACTTTTTCCGGTGAGGCCGGTGTTTTTCCTGGTTGTTCGTTCGATGGGTATTTCCATGGGATTCCTGGCGACCGGTGTTTCCATGTGTTTCCCCTGTTGGTGGAGACTTGGCAACCCACACAGTCTTCGTTGTTGATGGTCTGCAAAGCAGGGGCCATCAGCTGGCGGGTGGCACACAGATCCTTCAGCAGAGATTGTCCAAAGCGCAGACCGCTAAATGCAGACCCCAAAAGGTATAACCCCACAGAACCTTACAGAACCGCACTGAACCCTGGTTTTACTGATGGGTTGACGTTGCTTTTCCCGGATGAATCCTGGATAAATCATGATGATAGTTCTTATCTTCTTGTTGCCAAGATGTGTTTTTTTCTGTTTTTTTTGTTAAGTTAATCCACAACAGCAAACCCAAACGCTGCAAGAAACCTAAACGGTGCATTCACCGAAGGCCCATCCGCTTGGTGGGAGTCAGTTGGGTTCAACTGTGACCGTTGTGGAGTTTGGTCAGATGACCCCGTGGAGTTGAAGATCAAGCCGCATGAAGCTACATTTGATGGACCACCCATCCGATATCCCTCTTTCAAATATCGTTGGGTTGCGTCAGACACCCCAACTAAATGGTGAAATCCGATATCGTATTCAGCGCTGGAGCCACCCTTGTGGGAAACTCCAGTGTTTGTGACGTGCTGAAGGCTCGCTGATGCCTTGATCCTTCCGGAATTGGAGCTCTTAAGCTTCTAGAAGTTTTATCTTCAATCGTGCGCTCAGGTGGTTTGACAGCTTAACTTGGAGATCTGCCCGAAAGCAATCTGGGACCACCTTGTTTGTCGACATGGGATCTAGGTTTCTGGCTTAAACCGAGTGTTTTCCCAGAGGCAGCCCCAATCCCGCACTAGTGATCTAGTAAGTGATGTCACCAAATGAGATCCACTCATAGGATCAGTATGTGGTCCATGGTGATATCAGATATCCTGATCACTCCAATGGAGACCAACTGGCTTGGTCGAGCTATCATTTTGCTTTGTTCTTGGATCGCCTTCCTTGGAGCCTCTTGGTCGTCTTTGTCTTACATAGCTTCATCACCTGGACATGTTTCATCACATAATGTTTCCTTTAGAACCTGTGGTGCTTTGACACATCCCAAGTACGTGCCCAAGCACCACAGGGGAGTTGTTTCTCGGAAAAGCCTCTTTGAAGATTGCCTTGGTCGCACGATCGAGCTTGGAATTCGAGTGATCGAGTGCTTGACGCAACAAAAGTCTGGTGCTGCGAGGGGGGGGGCGGCACGGCGAGTGTGCGGAGCGAGTGTGCGCAGAGTATTAGCTGAAAGCAACTCCAGGTTCTCACAACATAGCTGAAAGCAGGGTCATTTCTTTTAGCAGACTATTTTTGGCTGCTGGTTCAGTCTTTGTGAGCGTAAGGGTCCCCTGAATTCCACCGACAAGGTCCATGAGCTTGTAAACGCATGTCGAAGTCAGGAGGTTGTAGCCCATGGTAGCCCCAAAATGGTACCTGGTCCCGTGCTTAGCACGAGTGTGCGGTTATTCCTTTTTATATTTTTGAACATGATCACATCGAAAACACATCATTTGATTAGAAACAATTATCTTAAAGAGTCACGTCCCTTTTTTCAGAGTACGGAGGTCCAGATCAAATCAGGCAGACCCACCATAGCGACAAAGACAGGCCCTGCAGGTTCAAGCAAATGAATACACTTCAGTTCAGGTAGCTGAATCAGCTGATTTCTTATTGTGGAGAGTAAACTTAATGTAATCACCGAACCACTCTTTTGGATCGGCACGACAGGTTTTTCTGTTCTTTTGAACTTCCATGAGTTGTCTGTGGCGTGAAAACGTCAGTGCACATGACACCCCCGATTGACCGTAGAATCAAAAAGGCTCCCCAGACATCCAGATATCCCAAAATCCATCGTGGCTGAGGTGGATGATGGATGATGGATGGAGGGGTGGATGGCAACCTGAGGATGGATCCAGTTGGCCTTAAGGATGGCAATCCTTGGGGTGGATGGGGATGGGAGGCCATTGGCCTTAATTCTTCGAGCCCTATGACGACCACTCGACTCTCGCGTCTCAACATTGGGGCTCAAGGGTCTCATTCGGTCCGACCAGGCGTTGGCGGCCCGCGCAAGGCGGTGGCTTTGCTTTGCGTATGACCAAACCTTGGCACTGTGTATGACCACATCGTAGATCCTTATGCTGCTGGTGGGAGAAAAGCACGGTTTAGGCACATTGGGCCTTGTGCCTAATGATTCCCTTGCCAGCGGACGGGAGAATGAATTAGAGGACTTCACAGGTCTGTAGATTGACAGTCTGTATATAGCATCTTGAGTTGCAACTCCAGTGGTCGTACAGAATGGGAGTCTGACAGCTCCTTTCACTATTTTCGTTAGGACCCTTTTGCGCCGCCTTTCAATCGGTTGAGGCGGGACTCTTGACCTCATGGGGCGAGGCTTGCCTCCCTTGACGCCAGATGAGAGCCCAAGGCCAGAGCCCATGTGATTGCTTCGTTGGGAAACCACCACTCTGTGGAGTTTGGTATTCGATGGATTGCCTGGGGCAAGTCCCTTGGACGGTTCCTGTGGAGTTCCAAGTCCTGCCTATATGGTAACATTTGGACTTTAAGTATTGAATGAGTTTGGAGAGGTGAACTCACATGAACTCACGATGAACCACCATCTAAACCTTAAGGTCGATGGTCTCCGAATCCTGCTTTCACCACCTTCCGATGTAAACAATCACGTTCCATTTGAAAACAACTGGCAACGTTGGGTTAGTAACAAGGGCATTTCTACTAGTAGAAGAAGCTACTAGAGGCCATCGCTACTAGTAGCAAGAAGCTATATACTAGTAATCTACACGGTGAAGTAGCCTTAGCTGGGTGCCCCTAGGCGCAGCCTCCGAAGCTTGCAGTCTCGTCACTTTTCTCCCCTGGAGATGGCGAGCATATGCGAGCATCAATCGACAGAACATGAAGACCAACCGTTCCGTGAGTGAATGGAAGACCGGTTTACTTCATGCATGAATAATTGATGGGTGTGCCTGTCATGCTTATGAGCTTTTCTATGGCAACTTGGTCGTGTCCTCTAGCGATGTTGCTACAAAGGAGACAAAGGATAGGGAAGGAGCTTGTGCGTGTTAGGATCGTCTCATCACATATTGTCACAGTTATTTGACAATATTTGACAATGAAGGTGACCTTTCTACCATTGCTGGGGTGTTCATGATGTTCCCTGATTGGTGGGAGATACCTAAGGTCTATGCTTGACAACACCTGCAAGCAAAAATCATGTGTTTTTGGTGTACCATGGAGCGGCTTTGCAGGCAAAGAATGCCCAAGACCACCTTGCCTTCCATCTATCCACCAGATGAGGCCCGGAGAGACATACAGAAGGGATCGCAATGGCCCGAACTCGACCGAGCCTCTGTTTTGCCATGCAGAATCAGAGGCCTCAGGCCTTCGTTCCTGGCGAAACCAGGACACCCTGGATGGTCCCCGAAAGCGGAGTTCAGGTCACACGACGCCAAGTGACGGCAAAAACCGGAACATGAGCTACGAGCATGGCCCGCAAAATTGATATCGATGGTTTAGTAATTGGTGGGGATGGGGATTGTTTAATATTAAGATAAAGATGTATTCAGACCCTGAAGGCGAGATTTCATTTGCCATCTTTTGCCACTAATCCTTTTCTCGAGATCGAGAGACTCCGATGTTTGGTGAACCCCACGACTCACCACGACTCTACATGACGGTATTCATCACCTCAATGGCCCTACGTCATACCTCACATGGATGGATTGCACCCCAAAACAGGATCCTTGGGGCCCGAGAAGGGGAGCTTTGTTGGGTTTAACTGTTTAACCTTATTTGTGTTTGCAACAAGGCTTCAACAGCTTCGTTTGGGGTAAACGGGGGACCACCGGGGCAACATGGGCTCAAGGCCTTGACCCTGGCTTTACCGCAAAATTCCTCACAAATTGCTTTCCTTGAGACTCCTCCAGTTTGACTGCGCACGGTGCAGTCAAACTTCTCTTCGCTTTTCGTCCTAAGGAAGGTTGGCTGGGAGAAGGTTGGTTGGCAATGGTTGGGATGCTTTTGCCAGCATGCGGAGTTTGCGCAAGCCAAGTGATTTCTCTGAGCTTCCTTCAAACACGCGTGATTTCTTTTGACATTTGACGTTAGCTAATTGCAGATAATAGGATCCGAGCTGTATACGTCAATAGACCAGCTTGTTGTATATACCTTTTATCTTCAACACATCCGGAAAAAAAACATTATAAAACACATAGACGCAGTGATGCAGCGGCTTGGATCCCTGTCAGGGATATGCTGATCACAGGTTCCTTCCACGAACTTCCAACCACCTCAGCCAGTTCCACGGCGGATCCCAAGAGATTGATCAAAAAGATGCCTCCGCCAGGCTCGTCGGCTGAAGCGGCCCGGTGGTAGGCGCGGCGGTTTGTGCAGTCGGTAGTCTGACAGGGTCCAGAATCGGAGAGCTCCACGTAGGTTCGGGTGGAGCCAAATCGTGCCATTCAGGTACTCACCATGGAAACAATATTCTCTATGTACTCCCTTTTAATTGGAGCTATTCTGAAGCCCTGGAAAATCTGCACCACCTGATAGCAGAAACATCGAACAGAATCTCTGTGAACATGTAGCAAGATCCCAATTCAGATCAGTACCTGGTGGTTGAGATTCCCCTCAGTTGTTCAACAATTAGCAGCTAGCAGATAATTTGTCAAGATTGTTTGCTTTCAGTGCGTTGGAGCCTTCCTCACGGTATAATCCAGTGGGAAACTGAGGTATTCATATCAGGTGCTTGTTCATATCAGGTGCTTGTCCCGTGTTGGTCGCTTGCAGAAGCCCAATCATGGTTGTTTGACTTGACAAGCAAACTGTTCAAAGGAATCCTGCTTCTGTCGGTGAGATGGTCAGAGTCTACCTTCCACCTGAACTATGCAAAATTCTTGCCGTTGCATCATCCATAAAACCGGCCCGAACACTTTCATGTTACATAGCTGGAAGATCCTGGTACTGCAAAAAAGGAGGGAGACGGTCGCCCCCGGCACCCCCTAGCCCCTGGAAGGTTCGGGAAATAGAGTCTACCCAGCCGATCGGGGCGAGAAAGGTGGTCTTCCTGTTTAACTACACAGCCATATGATCTACACGGCCATTGAGGATTCTGAGGACCCACTGACAGTCTGATGTCCAGCGAATCGGCTTGGGTTCAGGTACTTTCCAGCAGAGAAACTGTCAGCAGCTTGCGTCTTAGTGTTTGGATGAGCTGCAGAGCAGGACGGTAGGACACGGTGGACTTCGTTGAAGAATCAGAACCTTCAATGACATTCTGTGAGGATGATTTTGCAGCAATCGTGTTTGATTATATAAAAAAGAAGTACTTGACACCATTGCCCTATCAAGCAGTGCCAAGAACTGCTTCAGCAATGGGTGCAAGGATTTCACGGCCTATACGGACACTATCTTCTCAGACCTTGTTCCTTATTGAATCTATTGGTTGCACCTGTTACTACTAGCATAGCACTTGTTTCTAATAGCTTCTTGTTCCTTATTGAATCTATTTGTTGCGAACGAAACTGCTTGGGCCATTGCACCTGCAAAAGGTTCAGCTCCCACGGCTTTGGGGACGGACTGCAGTATCCGATCGGTGTGGCCAAGTGTCATTGACAGACACGGTGGAACCCAGCATTGCACCCACACCCATCTTTCCAATACTTGTAGCAATTGAACGGACAGTTTGTCAATTTGTTAAACATACCCATCCAAAAAGCAGCATTGGTTCTGATGCTTGGTGTTTAACTGTTTGGCAGTGTTTGGTGTCAGTTGTCACATTTGGCTTCCAACAGCTTCGAGTTCATGTCGAACTATCCATCCCCAAGGATTCCAACCATCGTTGATTAAATAGCCTGAATCCCAAACAACCATCATGTTTACTATGTTTTAAGGATTTCACACTAAATCCCGACCAGCTGATCCTTTTCTTTAAATGGTCTTCGACCGGTTTCTTCGACCGGGCTTCGACCGGTTTCTCATGTCCAGTGCCACGGCGCCCGAGGCCACGTTGCCCGCTCGGGCTCCATCGATTCCGAAGCCGAAGGTGGCCCGCCCGCCCTGGACCTCAGCGGTCACCCGGAGGGCGCCCAGTCCATCGATGAAGGCGCCCAACATGTTCCAATGCCCCCATCTGAAACTCTGTGTTGCGGGTTGCAGGCAGAGATCCAAAGCATGTGGCGAAGATGAGGTCACATTTGGCAGCCACTTGTTCATAATATATTGTTCAAGGGTACATGATGGTACTTTGCGTGCGCACAAGTTCTCAGCAGGATTTGGAGGGTCTTATGATGTCTTATGTGATGGCATGGGGAATGTGAGAATAAGCGGAATAAACTTGTGAAAGCTGATTTAACCAAAAAACAGCAAGCTCACAAGATAAATACTACGAGACTTTTCAACCTGACTTCTAGCACAATTTTGCCCCCGTGCACAATCTTGCTCTCATTGTATACACACACACACACTCCATAAGTTGATACCCTGCGATCCTCTCCGTATCGTTTCCGTTGTGGGCGAAACTCGCTCTTCTTCGTTTTGAGGCTGAACGCCAGCCTGAAGGGATTCGCGTGGCGCGTCAGTGAGGCGAAGTGACCGTTTTGGGGATCCAACAGCTGGTGGGTTGACCAGGTCTCAAGCCTGGTACACCGTCAGCATGTCTCCAGCACTTAGCAGTCATTTGAAAGGGCACATGCATGAATTCATCCATGAACATATGAGGGGAAAGCACACTGGGGTCACCCAGTTATTGCCCATTGCTCCTAAACAGCTGTTGTTTGCTTTGTGGTTGTGAGTTGGTGAGTCTTGTCATTTGCCTCACACACAACATCTGACAATCAACCAGATGTTTTGAGAAGTAGTTCTTTCAGTCTTTGTTGTTCCAGATTCCAGCATATGCTCCGAATCTGGCGGTATGGTGACCGTGCATGCTGTTCTGACTGTTCGTGCCTGTTTTCGTTCCTGAAGCTTCCTGCAAAGATGCGGAACCTCCTCACCTGACCGGATGGTTAAACCAGTTGGAGGATCCTCCAAAAGATGCGGATGGAAATTCGATTAAGAGGCACATAGAGACACAGAGACACCATCCACTGATCCACAGTGGCGCCACCTCGACACCTTCAACTCTGAGCGCCGTTGAACGCCGCGATTCGCCACGGACTTTGGCACATCCAGGAGAAGATCCGCCCATCAGCTGACATGGCAGACAAGGCCCGGTCCTTGATGTAGCTTCCTACGAGTAGATGGAGCGTTGGAACAGATTGGGGCTAGAAATAATGGGCTAATTAGGTGGCTAGATGTGCTTGGTTTGTTGGTTTAAGTTTGTCTTTTCTTGTCGCGAGGTTGATCATGCTGAGGGGAATCACCCCACATGATGCGTTCCCGGGAAAAAAGGATACCAGGATACCTGCAAATGCGCGGAAATAGAACCAGGTTGCCCAATCCTGGATGTGGAGTGGAGCTGCAAGCCATCTGAGAACGACTGTGAGAGGTCTACTACGCACCTGTGGTGCCGGGAATACCGACACAGCGCAAGCGACCACGTAGGCCGCGGGAACGGGAAGAGTGAGGAAGGTTGGGACCTCGTTGTCATAGCACAGCACATGGTTTGATGGTGATTTTTGGTGATTGTAGTTGATTGATTGTGATATATATATAGTTATATATATAGTTATATATATATAGTTATATATATATAGTTATATAGTTATATAAATATATAGTTTATATATAACTATATAAATATATAGTTATATATATAGTTATATATATAGTTATATAGTTATATAAATATATAGTTTATATATATAACTATATAAATATATAGTTATATATATAGTTATATATATATAGTTATATATAGTTATATATATATATTGGTTTGATGGGCCGATGGCTGGGGAGCTTCAGCTGGTCCGATTCCGGAAATGTGGTCTCTTGATCGGTAGTGGGTCCACTAGCTATACAACCAGACTTCTGGATCACTGCCAACTGCTGGACTGGTCGTTGGTTTGTTGTTTGTTCTTTGGAGCTTCGAAGTTGTGTCAGTGATGTTCAGCTCTTTCTTGAAAGGGTTATATAAGGGATTCCAAAATAATGGACCAGCAGCAAGACTGGCCTTTTGACATTGTGGTGGTGGTGGTGGTGGTGGTGTGGTTCTTTGGAAGACAGATGTTCAACGTATACAGTATATATATATATATATGTATATTAAGTCGGGAAAAGAAACTACTGTAGCGCAGCAATGAGAAGTGCCCAAAGTGCAAGGCATTGGCCATGAACTACCCAAACGACCCTTGTCTCCCTACGTCATGAGGTGAGTGAGGTGAGTGGTTGGTAATCATTCTCACAGGGTTATTCAGGTTCTATAGCTCCCTCTATATGTATATCATTCAATAAAGGGACCCGTATACATATATTATATAGCGGTATAAAGGTCGAAAAGACTATATACATGTTCTGTAGGAGTTGACACAAGATTGGTTCCCTTTTTTTCAAAGTTTCACACAACACGGGAAGGCAAACATACACACTGACATATATATATATAGATATATTCCAAACCTATATACCAGCGATGGCCTCCAACCATCTCCAACCCACTAGTGATGGCCTCCAACCTACTAGCGATGGCCTCCAACACACTGACACACGCACACACACGAGATGCTGCGTTCTGAACTGAATGCCACATGCCACACGCCCACCTACGTATGAAGGCCTAAGGGTACCAGGAAGGAAGTAGTGCTGTTTGAACATGAAAACCTCCAAAGCCCCAGCGATCACGAAACCGGCGACAAGATGACGGCGAACGTGCACATCTGCAGAGCTCGTTAGCATTTAGAATCACCTGATGTACCCGGAAACAGCCTGAGCAAGGGAGAACCATTTGAGTCAGTCAGTGTGTTCTCAAGCATGTGCAGGATCAAGCGTCCTTGATCCCTTCCCATAATCTGTGATGATAGCTTCATTGCGATCACACATGCTGCACGCCCCTGCTGGCTAACATCAAAATCAAGCGATTCCTCCAAAGGGTTTCACACACACACACATTTCCCATGTCCTCCGCCTTGGGAGTGCACCGAGTGCACCGGATTTGCTCCGCGAAGGCCCAAGACGCTGGAGCCCCTGCCGCTGGTGCGGAGCCGGGGGGGAGTTTGATCCAAAGGTCGCAGGTGGACTGTGGATCACCTTTTTTGGACCTGTGGATTTTTCCCGACTAAGCGAAATGGGTGGAGAGTTCGGTGAAATGTTATTTTCCAGGGAAACGGCTCAGGGGTCAGCGTAAGAATTCACGTCGGACAGTTTTCCGATCTTGGTAGATTGGCCGTCCTTCTACTAGGAGATTTGCCGGCTGCTCCAAATGTAGAGGCAACGGAGAAGAAACAGTCACAAAGTTGCCTGGGGGGAACATATCAATGTAGCCATTTCTGATCCATTTCTGTTTTCCTTGGATTGTATTGTTGCTAGGATTTGCTTTCCTCCCTTTAGGTGAGAGCCACCTCCACATCTCAGTGGCAGGAAGGTCAAGTCGTGCAGTTGCGTTGATCAAACTGGACATGCGTTTCTCAGTTTGGTAAAAAAACTAGATTTAGACCGACCACTTCTGTTGAATCTCCAACTTTCTCACATAGGCTCCTCCCAGCAGAAACCGTTAAACCGTATGAACAAAATCGGTACGGTACGGCATGGCAGCACATTCGTCCAGGGCACTATCGCTCATGTGCGCAAGAAGGCCGAGGGGTCCAGCTGTACTGGTGGTGATGAAAGAGTGTGAGGGGCGAGTTTGGGAGAAAGTCATAGGGGTGCATAGCCTGTGCAAGAGATTCATTCAGCTGCTTTGCTGCCTTCTGACGAAGAAGTGCCAGTTTCCATGCAGAAGAGCCTCAGGCACAGTTTCACATTTGGGCATCGTGTTTTTCAGGTTCCCAAGAAGTATAAAATGTTGCTAAATTTGGTAGTATCATGTAGTATCCATTCCACAAAGTGACTTGTGAGAGCTAACAGTAGTCAAAAGACTCAAATAATGCTTTTGAATTGGAGCTATGCCCGCAGTTCTTTCTCCCTTGCAATGGGGTTTGGTGCACGGCTTTGTGCATTTTTGGATTGCAATCCCGTCAAAATGACTCTTCCCTGGCATCAACACTTGGTTGGTGTCGCACCCACCAACATTTCCAGAGCTGAATGTACAGCCCCAACTCCGACGGTTTCACCGCTGGTGGACTTCGTCCTCCTGCCTGGGAAGTCCCACCTTCATTGTTTATGTTTGTTTTTGATGTGCTAGTTTTGCTTGCGCTGTCACCACATATTCCTCGCTTTATTCTTCATGAGTGTCAACGACTAAATCATCACAACCGGTCTGCACAGCAGTCATTTATGCAATTGAACCCACCCGGCTCTGGAGAGTTCGTAATAAGGCAAAGGCAACGTGTGAATGCCAACATCGACAGGTGCAGACAGTTGCATTCACCCTGTGGGGAAGGTCCCCCCGTCATAGATGGCCTTTTGCTATATAGGTTGGTTGATCAAAAGAGGGACACCCCCAGGTGAACAACCGGTCTACGGGACCAAAGTGGTACCGGACCCCACGAGGATTTCCAAGCTGGGGCATCGGGCATCGTCGCGGGTGCGTCGTTCAGTTCCACAGGTGCTCTCGGCGCTGAGCTCGGCGCTCCGTACTGAAGAGCTGCCGGAGGAGATGGCGTTTGTTTGGGCATGGGTAGAGAGATAGGTTGGGATGGATGTTTCTGGAAGCTCGAGGATTCGGATCCTGAAGAACAAGACCAGTTGATGAAACTACTTTAAAGCATTTTCAAGATGATTAAGGATGCTTGATCAAGGATGGTCGGATTCATTGGAATGACTGAGGCGATGAATGTTTCATGTTTTTCTCCGTGCTTGAAACGAGCAGATCTCACGGTGGGTTTGGATGCGGTTTAGACGCTCGTTGTTTAGACTGTGTGGGAGCGGTCTGCAGTGAGCGGTCCGCTGGAGTCGGTTGGAGTCGGAGTCGGTTGGAGTTCCTTTCAATATATAAAGTCATGACACGCTTCGTACGAAACATAGCGGAACGTACTAGTTTGCTCGGGAATTTTATGGCCATCCCAAAATCTGACATTCTGGAGGAGTTGCTCGCTGGGACCACAAGCGTGGAGCAATAAACACAAAGTGGCAACTATCATGTATCAAATACTACTGTAAATGTTCAATCTTCACAAACCTGCCGTGAAGGGCTTCCTGCTAGTTGCCCATTAACAGTCAGTTTCAGTCAGTTATTTGTACCTTTGACCTCATTTGAGTCTGTCTAAGTTGCTTTAGCACACTGGCTTAGTGTGACCGTATACTCTACACTTTCTTTGTTCGTCCGACGAAATCGACGCCATGTCTGTCCCGGAACTCGACCGAGTCGGAAAACGCATCGGCGTTGGCACGGTGCCCAAGAGGATCTGAGCTATCGGGTCTTGGGCACCGTGGAGAACGCGCTCGAGGAGCTTGACCTCCCTGGCCAGGACTGGGAGGGGCGTATACTGCGGCCGCTCGTCAGTCCTGACGAGCAGACCAGTGGTGTGGAGGAGCAACCACCGTTTGAAAGCCCATCGAAAAGCCACAGACGAGAATTTTGGATGGATGTGTTGTTCCAGCAAGTGGCAGCTGTTGTCCTCATGCAGCTACAAAGACCAAGTCGAAGGCTGAACCATCCACCCATGTGAGATATGAAAGATGTTCGTTCTTAAACGTCTCCCTGGAGCTTACTATCATGAAGAAGCTACTAGTAGCTAGAAGCTACTAGGGGCTCCTGGCGTCGCTACTAGGAGCAAGGACGCTACTAGTTACATGTTCTTTCCACCGTTTGAACCGCTTCGATCCGGTGACCACAGACGTTGGGGTTTCTTCCATGCAGTGGAATTCCCGTTGACACGTCACATGCCGTTTTGATGGATGGGGATGGATGTGGATGGCATGTGACGGGCAAAAACACCACACTTGGTCAAAGGAAAAGGAGTCATATGACGTACGGCTATGGATCAAGACCAGGATGCCTTGGTTGACCCACCTGGGAGGTCGTTCTCTACATCGTGGACTGGGGCTTCAGGTTTGGACCCATATACGTGGATTGAGAGTAAATGGCACATATGGCACAATCCCTCAAAGGCGGTTGAATGTGGTTGATCTGGACCCCCATCTAAAATAAAAAGACATTTTGGCAAAAGATGCAATCTACTTGGAAACCTTTGTGCAATCAAGATACACTGGAAGGTGATGTGAATTGTACGCATTGCCAAGATTGAAAACCAGCTTTTGGCTTGAATTGAGTGTCCCTGTAATGAGAGACTGTTCTGTTTGGAAAGGTTTTGGCTTAATTTGTTATAATGTTTCTACGCCGTAGTTTGGTGCGAACGCTGTGTCCTGACTCTTGACTCATGACGTTGAAGCCGATTCTAGCCTCCTATATCTTATCCGCCGCACCATTGGTAGTTGTTGAATCCGCAGAGGGGGCAGACTAGTACATCCATTCTACAAGCGAAATGCCACAAGCAACCAGCCATGCAGGTAAATTTCCCTAAGGGGGGTGCACTGGTGGACGTCAAATTCTACTTCCATCAGGTTTGATATCGAACGCCTGGTCCAGCCTTGAGATGGGATCATGGAAGATCCAACCTTGCCAAAGAATAACAACCAACCTTTGCGTAGATAACCTGTACTGTATATAGATAAGTTAGATAAGTGTAGATAATATGATATAGTAATATATGTAACGTATTGCAACTTATATACGCATTATTTATAGAACTCATGACTCACAACCAAATATGCTCCATTGAGGAAGCTTACGTGACGGCATACGCGGAGTCCTGCTGTTGGGTTGGAGGCCATCGCGGCCATCGCTCTTAGGAGGTGGAGTTCTCTCCCAAGCCGATCCAAACCCTGCAGTTTGTGCAGCGTCCAGAGGCGGACCTGGGGCTAGTCAGGAGGTGGAGGACCTTGCCAATCCAACCACTCTTGCTGAGTAGGCCAGATCATTTGGCAATGAGGCACACACCACAGTATCCTACACAGTATCCTTTTTCCTGCAGGGGTCCCACCAGTCATGGGACTGACCACGGACCACTCTTATCAAACTCGTCGAGACGTTATCTTGGAGCCAGCCGATGGATTCATGGATCAAGAAAGCAGGTTCCCCTTGATGCCGAGAATGTACAGCAGACCGCCTTATAGTTTCGGGTGTGAAAGCCATGGTTTCCTGTAGATTGTGCCTGAAACGAAACGCGTGATTGATGGGCCATGTGATCGCAACACCAAAGCGAAATGGATGAAATTCCGGTGACCCAAACTGATCAAGCTCACACTTGGCGCAGCATGGCATAGCATGGCGTAGCATGCGTCGTTTTGATGGGCAGTGGCAGCCTATCACAAACCATCCTGGCCATTGGCAGCTTTAGAAGGTCCGTCATACCATCCTACACCCCCAAAAAGTGAACACGTTCAACACATTCGATGGCCTCCAACCGCTAGTAGGCCATCGCTAGTCGGTTGGAGGCCATCGCTAGTAGGTTGGAGGCCACACAGTTTTTTGTTTCTTCAACCGCCTGTCTGCTCCACTCCTTGAGGTTCAGCCACCGGCCATTGAAGAAGTACGTGAGGAGCCGGAAAAGCAGGAGGACCACGTCACTTGGCATCGCTGGAGGACTCGTCGGATGGGCAGTTGGCATCACCCAGATGGGCGATCTACCAGAAGAGTTGATTACAGATATGATGGCGCCTCCCATCATATCATATCATATCAATGTTTTACCATGTTCTTTGAGATGCCTTTGACGGGGTGTTTGTGCCGGGTGGAAGAAAACTGTACCATTCAACTGGACCAGCTTTTGCTGGTCCAACCTTTCACTTACAAACTGCGGTGAAACCGGGAGTGTAATTATAGTGCATGTGCTGCGTGTGCTTTTCCTGTGTTGGTAGCACACAGATTTACTGTTGGTTCAATTACCATCGTTGACATGCGAAGAAACAGAACCTTTCGCCCCCCCGTGAACCTCGCAACCACTCTTGAGCCGTCATGGATAGCGTGATGGATAGTCCTGGATGTTCCTCTTCATGTGCGAAGAAATCCTCACATGTCATGTGACGAAAACACCCTTCAACACCTCCAAGTGATCATGCGATGTCATGCGTCTCGCACACCATGCGTCTCGCGCACCCGACCTCCGAGGCACCTCAGACGGAGGTTGAGGTGAGCAGATGGGTGAGATGCCGCGGCCGAACTTCAGCTTGGTGATTCGTGGCAACGCGTGGTGTCGTGATTCGCAACCCTGTTCGTGAGTCGCGTGCCTCCAGATCACGTCTCCCTTGGTCGGTGCTTCGGGATCAGAGTCTCCGAGGTGCCTCCAAGAACCATTCCCTTTTTTGGATCGTTTGCCCTTTGTTTCTGATTCGCTTGGTTCATACTGTACTCCAGTGTTTCAATCAGGGACCAAGCATTGGATCAGCTTAGTAGTTTTGCCTCCGTGGCGATCAGGAAAAGTTGGTGAACATCGTGTGTTTGAGATGGGGGGAGAATTCTTCAACGGTTACGCTGATTGTCTTGGGCCTCGGGGTGCCTCAAGAGGTGCCTCACCCCAGAAAATCACATCCGAGGACGTGTTGCAATGGTGTTCCAGCAGCCAGAAAGGAAGGTATCGAGAGCCATGCAGAGCCTCAATCGACTATTATGGGCCGGTGTTTCACTGGTTGAAGGAGCAACTCTGCCGTGAAGATCTCAGAAGCTTGCAGCGCGAACTTGAGCAGGTGGTACCCTACTCAGTAGAGTCCTATTATATTGGTGTTGTTTCCTCCATTGTTTGGACTAATTGCTTTTCAATCATTGCCTTTTTGGGAGGTGATCTCGTTATCCCTGGCCCATCCTGGCCCCCAGACGCTGAGAGTTGCTTGGAGAAGACTGAGGCAACACAGTTGTTCTGAGGTTCCTCTCAGACCGAGAAAGACATATCGTAAGACAGACGGTGGTCCTCTCCCAAACACTCCATGTATGGCATATCTATAACTCGGAAGGCTAGGACTCGCCCAGGACTGGCCTAGGGGGGTGGTTCCTGGTACCGGAGTTTGGGTCGTTGTCGTTGACCTGGCGTCTCCAGTTCCAGTTCCAGTCAGGTCGTCTCTGGGTGTCCTCAGGCGGCGGCCTCCACTCGTCCTCCCTCCTCGGCGTTCCTGGTGGGGTGCCCGCAGTTCCACGGTTGGCATGGAAGGCCCTGGAAGGTTGGCTTCTTTTGGGGTGGTAGGTGAGGGTAGGTGACCAAGAAGATGAGGGATTGATTCCCATGTGAGTCACGGAACAAGGTGGTTCGGTTGGTTTCAAAGTGGAGATTGTTCTGTTGGTCAATGATCTCCCGCATTCATTGAAGACCAGAGGTCATGATCATTGTCCCGATACATGTTATTCCGTCACTCGCGGAGTCCACTCCATATATTTTGGGCTAAAGTTGGGATTGTTGTTTGAAGGTCAGGTTGGGTGGTCTATCTCTTTTTTCTCAACTTAGCAAGACAGGAGAGGAACACGGATGACGTGCACGGGTGTATAGATTCAACAATGATGTGGTGAATGAATTTGGAGTGATACCAGATCGGCCAAAGCCAAGCAGATAGTGTTTTCACGCCCCTGGAAGATGGTTTTTGCAGTGTCTGAGATTCCCCTCCAGGCTGCTTTGGAAGAGGCACCTTTGGGTGACTTTGCGGAATGCTTTGTGGAGGCAGTGACGGGGGTCCGCGCCCTGGAAGATGCGACCCTGGGAAGTCATTGCGGAAGTCGCTGTCCAAGTTCGACCCGAGGAGCTCCAAACAAAGAGCTGTAGTTCGACTTGATCCAGCTGGCAGTGCTTCGTATGTCATGCTACATGTTTGAAAACAACACGCCAGTGGCAGTGAAGAAGACAGTGAAGAAGAAGAAGACGACGAAGCAGAAAGATGTGAATACAGTCCCAAAGATACAAGTAGCACGGTGCGCCGATGCAGAATGCTTAACGCTTTGATTCATTTGACTTTGGACATTTTTCACTGGGAGCCGCCCTGGGAACCGCTCAATGTCGCGACCCCAGGGTGCATTAGCCAAGTTGGAATTCCTGCCACAAAAACTCCAACACCATCCAACACCCTGGTGTGTTTCACAAGCGAGGCTATTTAGTTGCCAATGCTTCTTTAACGTAGATAGTTATTGTTGCACCTTTCACAACAGTTTGGCGTGCAAATGAACAAAAACATGACTCAAACAGTTCTGCATAAACTACACATAAGTTCAAGCAAAATCAAACACATCGATACAGAGCAAGAAATACAAAAACACAACAAACATCAACACACAATTATAATTATAATACATAAAAAAACAGTGGTTTGGGAAAAAATATACCTCTTACTGTAACACTATCAAACTTAAACCTGTGAAAGACAACGACAGTGCAAAGAAAACAGATGAAAGACCTTTGACAGGCATCATTTACCCTGCCTTGGCTAGTTTGGCTCTCCACACCATAGCCATTTGCCCCTCACATTCTGCATATGGTTGCACTGCATTTGTTTTGCCAGCATTTCTATGCACGTTTTGGAGCGTTTTGGAGTGTGTTTTTAGCAGTTGGGCCTTCTGGGGCATTTGGGAGCGAGCCTGTGAGCATGACATCATGATTCAGCAAATTTGTTCGTTGTTGAGCCAAATTAGCAAACGTGAGCAGCTTTGAACACATTCGAGCTTCTAAGCCTTCAAAGCGTTGATGAGCATGTTTCATGTTCTTCATGCTGCATGAATTTTCTCCTTTCAAGATTATTTTTGTGATGTTGGCTTTTCACAATTGCTTTTTGAAAATAATAACCCCCTTGTGAGACACACCTACTCCCCAAAGCTTCTCATTTCAGGTTCCTGGAACCCACGTGGTCGTGGAGGGGCACCAAGCGTTCCCGGTGAAAGACCGTTTTTTCTTTTTGGGCGGGTCGAGGTGGTTCCTTCTTCCTGTTTTCTTGCGTGATGACAATCTCCCTGTTTTCTGTGCTCAACACGGCCAAAAACGGTCGCAACGCATCCTTTTTCAGGTCGCCATACGGGGTGAACCTGTCGGGAGCCTCGGTCTTCGAGACGGTCGCCAACACGGCCAAAAACAAGGCCGAGGTCGAGTGTGATCGAAGTAATCCAGACCTCCAAATGGAAAGGCTTGTGAGGGTCCTGGACCCCTTCTATGGAGTCCGGGACCTGTTGAGGGTCCATGGAGTGTTTGGGTCGATCTATTGGCTATAGTTTCAATCTGCTTGGTGTGCGGACTGTTCCCGACTTCCGGCTGAATGGGATGAGGCACCAGCCTTGCCAGACGATGAGGCGACTTGGGATTTCTCGCGACTGCTATATATAATATTTAATGGTACAGCACAATAATAACAACATGTGAACGTCATGTTGTGCATTTGATGAGTATGCATATAATTGCATATACTATCATATAGTATATAGTGTAATGGTTATATAATGTTAATTATATATATATATATAGTTGTGCATATTATATAAATAGTACAGTTAGGAAGCTGATTTGACCCTTGGTGTCCTGCAACGCAAGCAATGCATGGGTAGTTTGTGTAGTGTTTGTTTTTGTTTAAACAAATGCAAACAGCACACTGGTAAACCTGGTTCATGGGGTACACATCCAGCTTGACAAGCTTCTCATCACTCGGACTCGGCCCAACATAGATGATCACTTGTATCTCGTCTCATATGTGAATTTGTCGCTGTGTTGTTTCCTAAGCATCTGAGCTCCTCCGGTTGAGCTCAATCAGAGAAGCCTTTTGTTTGCGGAAGAGGCTGACCTTTCAGCACGTCCTCACGACCTTTCAACACCGGTCTTGATGCATCTGATGTTTGGCAGCGAAGTTCCGGGTGACACCACAAGACTTTGAGTCACCCGGAACTTCTCGGCATTGAAATTGTTTGAATTCCGACATTGATTGGAAGCGAAACAATCAGTGGTTTCGAGGTGATGCAGGTAGCATCAAGTGAGGCCCGTCAAGGCCGTTGTGCTGGTCCCTGAGATCTACTATCAATGTTTGGCCTATCGGAGTTCCAAGTATTGTGCAAAGACCAGCAGAAACAAACAAGATATACTTATGACTCCACCTGGTTTTCGTATGTTGTGGCTGATACTGATCGCACAGGTTGCTGGTTTCTTTGAGGATCGCACAGGTTGGCGGTGTGGCCACTTTTCTTATTGGCTCAGTGGCTCGCCGAAGCGCTTCCTCGAACCGCTTTCTCCTCCCAAAACTTCCAACTTAGTGTTTTGGGGGGGATCCAGAAAAAATGTGAATAGAAATATGATAGGAAAGACACCAAAAGAACAAAATCATGTGATTTCACCGACTTTAATCCGCATCCAAGATGTGTCGTTGCACCTTGCGTGATCTTGCACGCGTGATGTGCCTTAGCCACTGTGGTTGATAGGTCCTTGAAGTAGATGGCTTCTCTGACTCGGAGGATGAGAATGAGGTCTTCGATGACATGACCGAGAAGGCGGGGATTGACGGCGGGCGCATCGCTCGCCATGACTCAGAGCTCACCCAGCGGCCGAGAGCTCGAGAAGCGCCCCATGGTCCGGTTGAATCTTTCTGATGAGCTTGCTAGGTTGATCCATGAAGGTCCATGGCTAAAGGTTTTAAAGGTGTCAAGATGCATGCAGTACGTAGAATTCATGGGAAAGCATCGAAACTTGAAACCTTTGTGTTCTGTTCTGTTCCAAAGATGCGGATGATTCTTCACTTGAACCTCAAGTTGAACATTTAGTAACGACTTGGCTACAATCGTCCATTTGGGTGTGGATTGGAAGAGGATGAAATGGATGAAATAGGCTGACCGCCAACCGTTACTGTAAGACTTTTTGAAAGAGGACCAATAGACCAGATTGGGCCCGAAAAATTGGGGGTCTCAACCAATGAATGGTCCGAAACTTGCATCTCCTCTTGCACGATTAGCTCCAGGTCTTGGACCGGGCACCTTGGTGACATGGACCGGACGTCGAACACGGCTGGGTGTGTCAGTTGGACATGGCAAGGTGGATAGCGAGATGATCACAGAAGGGTAGATGACCGGGTAACTACTTCGTTTTACTACCTACCGCTGTTTTGCGAGATTTTGCTAGAGTTTGGACGTGGGGAGCCTTGTGTTTGGGGGGTTTGTGGAGCACCAAACAACTGAAGAGAGTTCTAGGGAGACAAGGAGCAGAGCACATCGGACCTGTTCTCGGATGGCTCAGTTCCCTCTGAAAGCATTACGACTTCAAGATATTTCAAGACTTATCCGTCCAAAGTCCCTGCTCCTGTCATCTTCACTCGGGATCACCAGGTTGGCTCGGTGAAACCGAGCAAGAGACAAATCTCACCGACTGATTTGGGTGGTTCTAGGGGTCTATATATATATGATTATATATGAATATATATATAGTGATATAATGTAATATATATATATATGTATAATAGGATATTGATAGGATACATTACAGTATATGATGTGTATATATATAAGTATTATGATATAGATGTAGGTAAGGTGCATGTATATATGTAGATAGATGTATGTCAGAATATCCTATTACAAACTTTAAGGGGTCGGTCACTGTAGAAGTACCAAAAGTATTGTATAAGTCTACTGTAGTATACATAACCGACTGTAAGTTTATGGTATTTACTATACATACATGTCATTGTATCAGTATACGTCCAGTTTTCATGTGTATATATATATAATCAGGTCTTTTGTGAGTTGCCTCCAGTTTCCATGGGGAACTCATGGAACAACTCAATTGAGGTCTTTGCTTTGGCGGAGACGTTGGACGGGATGTGAGGGGGCAGGGTACGTGGTGGTGATTTCAGCAGAAAGCAGTCCACGAGGTTGAAAAGTGTGAAAATGCACCCTCTGCACATCAAAACCGCTGTCCTTGCAATCGGAAACCATGGTGTCAAGAATATTGGGATTAATTAGGTAGGATTACTCTAGCAAGCTCTACACTTCATGTGGGGTGTTGTAGGAATGAATTGTAAGACCATGCATTGCTTGCGGAGAAAATTGCTGGTATGGGTTCTATTGAAGTCCTGCAGGCGTGATGCTATTGATAGACATTCATTCCAATTTGGGGAAACGCATTGGCTTCAATGTCTTTTGGTCTAACAGTCCTTGAAAGAAACAACGCTTTCTGTGCTGCAAGACTTCTGAGTGAATAGACGTCCAAGCAGCTAGTAGGCATGCTTTGTGGACTTCAGAAAGTCTCATCAATAATCTTCGCACTTGGTTGATGTCATTCCAGGAATAAGAAGAATCCTCGACCGCTAATTGCTTCGTTTGTCTCAATGCGTTGGATCAGCGTTGTTCTACCCGGCAGGAGACAGTGTAGCCGTCGTGGCAATATCCATGCAGCTGCGCTCGCAAAGGTGAGAACGTGTCATGCAAAGCATGGACGTGGCAAAACTTTAAGACAGCCAAGACAGCTCGAAACATTATGGTGACAAGCTAGGTTTCTTTTGTTCTGACTGAGTCAACCTAGGGCAATCGGTCAACAGCGAACCTGCGGGTGCTTCAGTGCAACGGTGTTCCAGTTCAAGCTTTTCAGTGTTCAGTTCGAGTTCGATGCAACATCCTGAGAGGTTCCCTCACTCCACCCCAAAAACCATCAAAAACCTATGATATGGGCAGTGCCACCAAGGTGCCACCAAGCACAGCTCCGACGTTTGACACT